GGGTTCGCCGGCACGAAGCCAACAGTCATAGGGTTTAGGGTTTAGGGCTCAGGGTGTATAGGGCTAAGGGCCCCCTAAACCCTAAACCCTAGATAGCGTGTAGGGTGTAGGGATTAGTAGGCTTTAGGGTGTAGGGTTGAAGGTTTAGGCGTTTGGAGCTTTCGGGTTTCAGTTTTTTGTTGTTGGGTTTATGGTCTTGGGGTTTAGGGGCCGATGGTTGAAAGCTTAGAGGTTAGATTTTTCGTGTTCTGTATTTATATATTGCTTAGGGTGCAGGGTTCAGGCAGCGTAGTCGCGGTACATGAGAACACCGGGAGGCACCAGAAATTCTGACAAAGCTGACCTTATTGGGGGCTGCTAGATGGAGAGGAGGGTATCAGTCCAAAGGGCTCTTCCAAAAAACAGCACGCCCACATACAAAACTCGGTATGCTATAATTTGGGGGCTTCCGAAAAGGGCTTCTGTTTTTTTTGGCAACCCCCCAGTCCACCACGTTCTGAACATGGCTTAGGGCCCAGGATTTCTGGGACTTTGTAGATGGTTATGGGTAGCAGTGCAAGCGGTTTTAAACCCTAAACCTTAGATTTTAAACCTTGAATCCTAAAACCTAAACCCTAGATTTTAAGCCTGGGGTGGCTCAGGGCTACGTCTGTAGGTCTTGGAGTCGCCAGTCGAATTCTAGTTTCCTACTAGTTTAGGTAGGGTGTAGCATGTAGGAAACCTTCTAAAGGTTCAGGGTTTAGGGTTAAGGATTTCGGGGCTTGGGTTAAGCATTTAGGGCCTAGAGATTAAGCTTCGGGATTCAGGCATGTTTAAGGGCAGAGCCCCCTGGTTCATTATACCGTGCACCTGCCAAATACTGCAACCTGCATCAAAAGGCCCCCAACTCCAAGTATCTAAGCCTGGCACCCTTATCCCAACCTTTCACCCTACTTGGAGGGTCAGGGGCATGTAAGTGGGTTAGTAATGGGGATAAGTAGGGTTATTATATGGGTTATATAGGTTAGACGGTTTATTAACCTGCTTACTAAGTCCTCCCGGCCCTTCAAGTAATCTCCATCTGCAACCATACACAAGCCATAGTGTTAATTATTGGAATAGCAAAGATTAACAATAGTATATAACCATACTGTAAGTACTAAAAAATCCTGGATGACCTCTAAGCGCCTGATACCTTGGGAAATATGGTTATATACTATACTAAGGTCATGCAGGTTTTTAGCATCAAGAGTGGTAGCACAAATACATGAATAATGGACAGACAGGCATCTGATAGAATCTTTTCCCCAAGAAGCGCAAACCCAATTGCAATCGCATCGAGGTCTATATGCAGTAAACTCTTGCATACAAACCATTCAAAAAAAAGCCCGAGAGACACCCCTCCCCCCCCAAGTCAGAGGATCCGAGCCATAGTTAACTTTAGTCCTGGCCCTTTTATCCTAGGGACTCTCAGGACCCCCACTGCCTGG